ACAAACCCTCTAGATTCTGCGTAACCCCCTCCCTACAAGCACAGTTGATTTAGCACAGGTGGGAGGTCTGCAGGGTGGGTGGCAGCAGCAGGAATAGAGAGTATTTGCAGGTTCTGAAGACAGGAGCCTGGGAAGTGGGGGAGAACTTTGAAAAATTATCTAGTCGGTCTCTCTCAGGCTGATGCAAAGCGACCCGGTATAGCTCAGAATTTGGTTTATGGCTGGATGTTTTAGAGCAGAAATAACTCTTACTGAGTACTTTCTATGAACCCAAATGTTTTTATGTGCATTCAGTTCCTACTAATCATATAAGATAACCCTTATTTTACAGGTGGGGAAACTGAGTCTAGGCCACATTACATAGGGATACGTCTGAAACTTTAGTGGGGTCTAACACCAACATCCAATAAGATGATCTTGGCAGAAGGACATTCAATGGGAAAGCGATTGCCTAACACTTGGAAAGAAAGCCCTGGGTTTGATCCTGAGGACACACACACACACACACACACACACACACGGGGTTGGGGTGGGGGCACTGAGACATGGACTTACCTATTTGAGAGTCATCTTGAACTTACGTAGCAGCCACGGATGACATTGAACTTTCTGCCTCTGGACTGCTTGGATACTCGTGTGTCCCACCACGCCTGGTTTTATACTGCTGGGACTCAAGCCCAGGGCTTGGTGAATACTAAGTGGCAAACATTCGACACCCCCTTCCCCTATTTAAAAAAAAAAACCAATTCTTTGTGTTTATTCATGTGTCCTTGTTTGTGTGTGCAACACGAGGTGACCACAGTGGACAAGAGAGGACATCGGAACCTCTGGAACTGGAGTTGGGCACCACCTGATGTAGGTGGGAAGCAAAGCTCAGTGAGCTGTAAGAGTGACACCCATCCTTAGCTGCTGCACTCTCTCTCTCTCCAGCCCCCTAAGATATACACTGCGCTTTTTTTTTCTAACTAGTCTAGACCTCAGCTATGTAAACCAACCTAGCCTCAAACTTAGAAAGGTCCTCCTGCTTCTGTCTCTGAGTACTGGAATCACAGGCATGTCTGGCTTCATGTGGTTAAAATGTTAATGAAATGTCAAACCCCACTGCATTGGTTCTGAGATAGCACACTGCTGACATCAATTTCTATCTTCCTTTCATTGGTAGCAAATGTCACGTTAATACTTCCAAAGATGACCTATATCTAAACAAGTGAGTTCATAGAGAACTTTGTCCATAAATAAAAGACTATCAGGTCTTATATGGCATCTCAGTGGTTTCACTTAAATAAAACTGGGAAATTGTTTTTATTACTCATGGGGATGTCTGAAAACATGAAGTTTTTAAACATGCAGTGGAAATGTACCTGGCTTTCAATCCACTGAATGGCCTACTCCTCCTCCTCCTTCTCCACCTCTCCTCCTCCTCTTCCTTTTCATCTCTTTTTTTTTTTATTATTATTTTTACTTTACATGGATGGGTGTTTTGCCTGTGTGTATGTCTGTGCACTACCTACAAGCAGTTGCTGTGGAGGTCATAAGAAGATGCAGAATTCCCCCTAGACTGGAGGTATAAATGACTGTGAGTTTCCATATGGATGCTGGGACTCGAACCTGGGTCCTCTGGAAGAACAGCCAGACCACTGAGCCATCCTCTCCTCCAAACAAAACAAAGCAGCCTTTCACCGTGTACCCCAAGCTCTCCCGGAATTCACTCTGTAGCCCAGACACTGACCTCAAATTTGAGGCAATCCTCTTGCCTCCGGTGAATGCTAATACTACAGGTATGAGCCACTGTGCCCAGTCACTCTATTCAATTTCACACAATAACACGGTGCCCAGCCTTGGACACCACTTTGCAACTGTGGGGTATAACTTTAGTATGAAGTTCCAGAAATGCAGCTGCTGAACTCCAAGCATGGACATTTGTGATTTAGACAGATGCTACCAAATTGTCCCCAGTAAAGCTTGTCCTAGTAACCCATATTCCCATCAGCAACTCTAAGGGGGCCTCTTTCTCCATAACCTTTCTGAAAGTTTTTTCTGTTTTTTTGTTTTTTTTTTTTTTTTTTTTTTGGTTTTTCGAGACAAGGTTTCTCTGTATAGCCCTGGCTGTCCTGGAACTCACTCTGTAGACCAGGCTGGCCTCGAACTCAGAAATCCGCCTGCCTCTGCCTCCCAAGTGCTGGGATTAAAGGCGTGCGCCACCAACGCCCGGCTTGAAAGTTTTTTCTTAACCTTCTTGATCTTTGCCAACCTAATAAAAATGAACATATTTTACATTTTTTTTTTCAAATTAGAGAAGGAAACTTTCAGGAAGGAAACTCCAATTTTTGCTCATTTCTGCGAACTCATAAATTACTTTGGCTTTAAAGGGGGCTGGAGAGGTTGGTGCACACGTTAAGAGCAATTGTTGCTTTTTCAGAGGACCTCGGCTCCATTCTCAGCATCCACATGATAGTTCGAAACCAGCCTAACTCCAGCTCCAGGAGATCCAATGCCCCAGCTGACCTTCACGGTCAGCAGACATGCAAGTGCTGACACATACATATATGTAAGCAAACACACACAAAATAAATAAACCTGAATTTCTTTCAAAGGGATTCCTAGATGTTGACTTCTTTATCTCTACCCTGAGGACTCCTGACTGCAAATCAGTGTTGTGGTGTGACTAACACGGGTTCAGAGTCACAAGCCCAGGCTTGGTTTCCAGGTACCTAGCCACATGCCTGTCTCCTCATTTGCAAAAATAAGAATATTGATAGCAGCTTCACGAGATTACATGAAGATTAAATTATATAATCTAAGCATCTTCTTTTTCATTCAAATGGAAACAACACTCCTACACACACACACACACAAACACACACACACGTTCTGTTGGTTTATTTGCTAATGGTAAGAATAGAACCTACCCAGATTTCTTTTTCCTCTGTTTTGAGATAGGATTTCATACAACCCAGGCTGACCTCAAACTTGCTATGTGGCTTAGACTGACCTTGAACTCTTGATACTTCTGCTTCACCCTTCCCAGTGTCTCACTCAGTTTTTCCTCACTATTGGTAAAGACAGCGCTCCCAATTTCCGTTCTCCAAAAGAACTCCAACCTAGTGCCTTAGTACAGTAGACCCCAAAGGTCTTTGAACTTAACCAAGAAGCTGGCTGAGTCTTTTAAATAGCCCATACAGGATCATCACAGAACAGGGAACTGTTTAGAATCTTTGGTATGGCTTTCTTCTGAAAAGAAAGGGCCAAATCTATAACTCTTCGATAAAGGCACCCTTGTATTGCAGAGGTGACAGTTCAACCTGGACATGTGGTGCACACTTGTAATCCCAGCACTAGGTAGAGGCTGTGGATGGAAGGAGAGTGTGAAGCCAGTCTGGTCTGCACTTTGAGTTCAAGGCTAGCCTCCTGAGCGTTAAAAAAAAAAAAATGAAGAAGAGGAGGAGGAGGAAGTAATGGTTGTAGTCCCTGTGTCCATTGGTTTTCATTTCTGAACTTGAAAAGAAACTTGGTGGGCAGGAGAGATGGCTCAGCGGTTAAGAGCACTGACTGCTCTGCCAGAGGTCCTGACTTCAATTCCCAGCAACCACATGGTGGCTCACAACCATCTGTAATGGGATCTGATGCCCTCTTCTGGTGTGTCTGAAGACAGCAGTGGTGTACTCACATAAATAAAAAATAAATAAATCTTTAAAAAAAAAAGAAAAGAAACTTGGCATAACTAGTTGTATTTATGACTGAAACGGTTTTACGGAATCAAGCAGAGATGGCAGCAGGCTTTGTGTTGTACATTTGGTGTAAGTCAGCTAAAAGTCAAGGTCTAACTGACTGGGGAGATAAAACTTTCTAAAGTCGGGAACTGTGTATGTATTAATCATACTTCCATCTGCGGTGTCAAACAGAGACTATAAAGCCCAGTCAATGTCTCCTAAGTACATGGTTCTTCCCATGAACTTGTAGATTTGGGGGCTCACTCTAAAGGGCTTTAACATGTTGTCTTCCTGATTTAGGTGTTTTTAAAACATCTACTTATTTATCTTGTATGTTTGTGTGCGTGCATGTGAATGGGTTGGTGCATGCCATGACATGTATACAGACATCGAGGATGACTTGTAGGAGTTGATTTTTCTCTTTCTACTACATGGGTTCCAAGGATTGAACTCAAGTAGTCAGGCTTGGAAGCAAGTGCATTTACCCACCAAACTGTCTTGTCAGTTCAAGGAGATGGTGTTATCAGAGGATCGGGCAGGGTCAAATTATCTCCATTGGAGATTTATACCAGTGATCAAAGTTCATATTTTCAACTTGACGAAAGTGACGAGTAGCTCTTATCTGCTTATAACTGTTTCAATGTGAAGAAGCTCCATGGAAATTCTGTACTTGAGCGATTTCTTTCTCTCTCTCTTTCCAGATGTCTCTAAGTCGCAGCCGTAAGTGACTTTTGATTGGCCCAGGTATGGTCTGCTGCACAAGTTAACTCAAAGTACCCAGTCACGAGAGACAGAGAAAGAAATGGACCAATGAAGTATAGAAAGGCTAGAGGAAAGAGCAGGAAGAGACATAGGAGGAACTGAGAACAAGTCTAGGGGTGGAAAGTGTTCAAGAGATAGTGGGAGGGACAAAATATCTTGCTGTCAAGCCAGATTCCCTGAGTTCAATCCCCAGGACCCACATAGTTGGAGAAGAGAATCAGCTCACCGAAGTTTTCCTCTGACCTCTACATCTGTGCAGACACCTACACATACATTTAAACTATAGTCGTAAGATCCTGGAGAGATGGCTCAGGGGTTAAGAGCACTTACAGTTCTTGCAGAGGGTCCTTGTTGGGAGGTCTAGTCCACGTGGTAGCTCACAAAAGTTTCTCAGTTCCAGGGGTCCTGACATCCTCTCCTGATCTCCTGGAGGATCAGGCATGCACATGGTACTCGAAAATACTCATACACATAAAATAAAAATAAATAGTCTCCATGAAATGGTAATAAGGAAGAAACAAAGGCTCATTGTGGGGTCCACCACAGCCATGAAGCCACGGGTAATCATTGTATTCTAGGGTAGACTCAAGTGAGGTCTGTAGGAGGAGCTGCAGGGGATGTCAATGCTCAAGACAGACTTTTGGTTAAGAAGGCAGGAAGGAGCAAGAAGAAGCATCTTTTCCAGGAGGCACACCTGTAAAAGGAAAGAAAGGGACTTTAACTGGCGCTCTCTAACACACGGCTGAGATGTCGCTGCATTTGGTTTTGAGACAGGGTTTCATACAACCTTGCTTGGCCTTGACCACTCCATGTCACTGAGGCTGACACGGAAATCCTGATGCTCTTGGTCCCTCCCAGTGCTGGGATTATAAGCATACCCTACCATGCCTGGTTTATGTAGTCTGGGAGATGGGACCCACGGCCTCCTGTGTGAGAGCTAAGCCCTCTACCGATTGAATTACATCCCTAGCCCTAGAGATTATTTTATGGTTTTCTTTTTGTTTTGTTTTTTTAATGCCGTATAACATATGGGAAGTCAGGAAGATGACGTCTGGCAATCAGTTCTTGTTTCTTTCCACCATGGGGAACTCTGGGGAGATATCAGTCTTGTTTAAAAAGTGGTTTTACCCACTGAGCCATCTTGCTGGCCCTCAAGTTTATTTAAACTTTTATTTTATTAGTTTAGACTTATTTTTTGTGTATGCCTGTTTTGCCTGCATACATGTATATGCATCATGTCTATGCCTATTGTTGGAGAAATTCAGAAAAGAACTTTGGATCCCCTGGAACTGGAGTTAAGGACGGTTATGAGCTGCCAAGTAGGTGCAGGGACAAACACAGGAAGTGCTCTTAACCACTGAGCCATGTCTCCAACAGAGCTTATTTTTAAACTAATTTTTGGTTACCATAACCTTGTACTGAGATATTACAAGGTAAAGATTTACAATATTGTTAAAAGGCATAAATTTATAAGGTTAATAGTCTCACTCTAATACTGCACATGCACCTGTAAATATGCAAATATATGTGTATATATGTAAATATGTATAAATATGCACTTGTGTGTAATATTTTCTTGAGACAAGGTATTTCAATGTAGAACAGGCTGCCCTCTAACTCACAGAAATCTGCCTGCCTTTGCCTCCAGAGTGGTGGGCATATATATCTTTTAAACTGAAGTGAACACAACACACAGACCTCTTCACTTGGTCCTTTAATCTCAGGCAACTCCCAGAAGCCCTTATCTCCTGACCTTATCTCCTGTCTCTCCAGAGACGACCTTCTGTCGCTACCGTCTTGACCTCCTTGTAGTTCTGAGAACAGCCAGGCTCACTCAGACCTTAAGGCTTTTGCACTTGCTGTTCCCTCTGTCTGGAGTGTTCTTCCACCAGAAATCCTCTTGGCTCACTGTCACACTTCCTTTGTATCTCTGCTCATGGTCCCCTCCTCAGTGGACATCATTACCGTTCCTGACACCATACACTACTTCTTCCCCGCCCCCTTCCTTTTACACTGCTAGAGATTGATCAGGGCCTCCTGTTCTGGGCAAGCTCTACCACTGAACTATATCCCCTGCCCTTCTGCGTTTTTCCTCTCTCTCTCTTTCTCTTTAAAATAGTCATGTATCCAAGTGTTTTGCCTGAATGTATGTCTGCACAAGTATTTGCCTGGTGCCCACAGAGGCCAGGAGAGGGCTGGAATTAGAAAGGGTTATGAGCCAGCATATGGGTGCTTGGAATCAAACCCAGGTTCTCTGGGAGAGCAAGCAGCCAGGGTTCTTTACTGCTTAGCTGCCTCTCCAGTCTCCCTACTCCTCCTCTTTCTAATCGAGGCTTATATAGCCCAGGCTAGCCCCGACTCACTATGTTTTGGAGAATGATCCTGAACTTTCTGATCTTCCTGCCTCTACCCCCTCCCTAATGGTTTCCTCATGCTGCCTTATTTCTAGAAGGCAGGCCTCCCAGAATTCACACTCCCCTGTTGCAGGCCCTCTCCCTCTCTATCCCCTTCAAGGTCTCTCCCTACTCACCACTAAGTTTGAGATATCTCCTTTTTTCTAAATGTGTCTCCATCTCTTCCTCACAAGGGAACACCTCCATCCCTGGTTGTACTCAGTGCCGGGGGTCCCACTCGGGGCTCCGCGCACACTACACAAGCACGCTAACCAACAGACCCATCTGCTGATTTTTTTTTCCTCCACAGCACTTATTACCATGGATTTGCTTATTTTAAACTTTTTATTACTTTTTTTTTAATTTATGTGCTTATGCGGAAGTCAGAGGACAACGTTCAGGAGTCAGTTATCTCCCCCCATCATGTGGGTCCCAGCGACCAAACTGGCTGTCAGCCTTGGCAGCAGGTGTCCTTACCGCTGAGTCATCTCACCTGTCTGGATTTTCTTGCTTTAGTGTCAGTGTCTCATGAGGAGAGAAGCTCTGTGAGTGGAGGCTTCTGTGCTTCCAATTGCTGTACCCAGAGGCTACAACAGGGGCATGACCCTCAATGGGTGTATAGTAAAATATGAAAAGTCACAGAGAGATGGTGTCATAACATAGTGATTATGAGTACACGCTGTTGCATTTGGGAGGCAGAGGAAGGCAGATCTTTGAGTTCGAGGCCGACCTGGTCTACAGAGTGAGTTCCAGGCTAGCCAGGGCTACACAGAGAAACCTTGTCTCGAAAAAAAGCAATAAATAAATAAAATATAAATAAATCTTAGAAAACAAAAAAGCAATACATGCTCAAATTGCCTGGGTTCAAACCTGTTTGGTTTTATTTTTCCTGTTTGAGACAGGGACTCCCTATGTATCCCAGGCTAGCTTAAAACTCAAGATACTTCTGCCTCAGACTTCAAGGGCTGGGAACACAAATGCCACCATGGCTTGCTAGCAAATCTTTATTTTCTTAGCAGATGCATATACTTGGGAAGGTGAGTTGGTCTCCTTTGCTAAACAAACAGGTCATCTTAGTACCTAATCCTAGGTTCTTGTTTTGTTTTGTTTTGTTTTTCCAGACAGGGTTTCTCTGTGTAGTCCTGGCTGTCCTGGAACTCACTTTGTAGACCAGGCTGGCCTCGAACTCAGAGATCCACCTGCCTCTGCCTCCCAAGTGCTGGGATTAAAGGCATGCACCACCACTGCCTGGCTTATCCTAGGTTCTTGTAAGAATTAATATATGGATTTATATAACATGTTCATAGTAATAACTGTCATAAGAACTGTTGGGACTCTTTGATGTATATTTTTTGGTAGGGTTCTGGGTTTTGTTGAAGAGCCAGGACCATGTGCACACTAGACAATAGCTTTAGTGCTAACCTTTCCCCAGCTCTGTTGGTAGATTTTATAAAGCCTATTAGCTAAATATGATGGCAGACACCCATAATCTAGCATTCAGGATGCTGAGGCAGGAAGACCAAACGTTTGAGGACAGCCAAGAAAACACCAAATTCTAGGCCAGCCTGGGTGGGCTACAAGACCCAGTCTTGGAACAAATAAAAAAAAGTATCAATTCCCAAAAGGCAAACTAGCAGTTTGGTCATGGGTGGCTCTGCTGAGCAGGCTTTTCTGCATCTTCTAGATGGTTCTTCCCAGTCCCATTTCCCTGTCCTTCACTCTTAGACACAGGTGGCTCTGAGTGTCATTTCTCACATTCTTTTCTGGTGATCTCATGATTTTAACTACTACCCAGGCTGCCGAGATCAGTAACTGTCATCTCAAACAGCCCCTTTCCCATAGAGCCTTACCCTCTGGCGTCCAAAGGCTTTGAGCATTTCCATTCTAATTACTTGTTAGGTCGCATGACTCACCGGAGTGGGTTTCTCAAGGGCAGGAATAGCTTCTTGGTTATCTTTATCTCTGTTCCTCCAGGCGAGGTGTTCTTGGAAGGTCTGCTTCCCAGCGTTCACAGTCTATTGGAGGGAAGCAAGCAATTGGAGGTCAGCAGCTGTCTTGGAGGGCTATTTTAGTGAGATAAAGATACTAGAGAGCTGGGAGAAACTAAGGTGCCACCTTCATTGGAAAGGATGGCCAGGCTTTGGGCAAAGGGAGAGTTAAGTCAAATGATGCCCAAAGAAAAGAGGATTCCGATATAAACCAGCACACGTATGAGCCCCAGGATGTGGTGTGTGGCATGGAGAGAGACCATATGACTGGATATAGTAAGATGAGTGACAGGATTAGTGACAAGAAGTGAGGTGAGAGACGGGTGCCGATGGCTTCAGATTTTACACTGGCATATAACTGAGAAGCCGCTGGAAGGTTCTGAGGAGAAGGTTCATCAGCTATGACTCATCATTTGAAGGAACATTCTGGATGTTGTCAAGAACAGATGAAAGAAGGGCTAGAGAAGCCTTCTGTGGGCCAGGAGCTCCCCTAGCACACGTGAAGCCCTGGGTTCAATCCCCAGCACTGAGATCAACTAGGCATGGTGACACAAGCCAGTTTTCTCAGCATTTAGTAAGTAGAGGTAGGAGAATGGTCTTAATTTAGAGGCCAGCCTGATTGTTGTGTGACAAAACTTCTCCTGGGGAGACTCACATACACTCACCCCAGATAGGGAGCCCACAACAGACCTAAGTACAGATACCACAAAGTCAACTTTGTGAACCAATGCGCTTTATTTGGATTATTTACAGGAGCAGAAATGGGCACCAGTTTGCTGTATTTAATATTTAATCTCAGACGGCAGGGTTTCTAACCCACCTTTGATCACTCAGTTTCCAGATAAAAGTCACATAACTTTTATATTTACAATAAGCCTTAATCAGCACTAAAGCTATGAAGATACCTACCCACTGTGCTATTATATCTCCTTCCCTAGCAATAATCCCAACTTATAACTTGCTAGTTCCATCTGAGCTGCTCTTAGCTCTGATTGGCCAGCCATGTTTTCATAGCTCACCTACCCCATTGCATTTCTCCTCTATCACCTTCTTCCCTCTCCCTCATGGTCCCTCCTCTGACCCCACGCCCAGAACCCAAACTTCACCTCTTTTCTGCTGTAGGCTGTAGGCATCTTTCTTTACTCACCAATCAGGAATAACTTAGGGGACAAGTTTACACAGCACCACTTGTATATGTGCAGATTTCTTTAGTCACTGAGGACAACCAGGCCTGGCGGCCCAGTATTTAGTATTAAAATACATAGCAAAAGACCAGACCTCAACAGACAGCTGCATCACCAAAGCCTGCTGCAGCATAGGTAACAGGTATCAAAAGCTGGGAGCCTGGCACACACCCACAGCCTACAGGCAGCTCAACAGGTTAGAGGGTATTCTTTCTAGGTGCCTCAGATGGTCTTCATCTCTTCAGACAGCTCAGCTGGTTGCTGCTTCTTCTGGGTAGTTAGTTGGTCTGGTCTCAGGGTCTTCTTTGCAGCTCAGTTTATCTGAGAGACGTCTTTGAAGCTCAGCTTCATGTCAGACTCTCAGCTCTTATAGCTTACTCTGGTAGGACCAGACTTAGTGAATCTGGTCAGTTTCAGGAACTTCCTGAAGTTATTTTTAAGTTGTTTACCTATTTAAAGAGCTTTCCTGTAGGCTGAAATATTTCAATCTTGGAGAAAACTGTTACACAACACTGTTCTGCATATTCAGTTTCAGATGACCTGGGGTTATATAATAAGTCCCTGTCTCCAAGAACACGCAAAAAAAAAAAAAAAAAGGAGAAACTGAGGTGCAGGTAAAGCTCTTGTCGCATAAGCTACAACAATTTAAGTTTAATCTCTAGAGCAAGGCTGCCTACTTCTGATCCTAGCACCTGGAAGTGGAGATAAGCAGGATAACCAGATACCTGGGGTTCACTGGCTACACAGCCTAATATAAGTGTCAAGTTCCAGAGGAGCGAAGCCTGTGGGGAGGAGGAGGGAAAAGTAGATGGTATCTAAGAAAGGGCACCCGATTGATGGGGTTTGGGGGTGTAGATGGTATGGTATGTAAGGAAGTACACCTGGTTGTCCTTTGTATTCCACATGCCTGTGATGTCATGTATATACCTGCATCCACATGCAAACAAACAGACGCACATGCAACACACAAAAATCTAAAAGCAAAAAGAATCAAGAAAGTGGATGGGGTGTGGCTTAGTGGTAAAGTATTTGCCTAACGTGTGTCAGGCCCTGGATATGACTCCCCATATCTTCAAGAACACTAAATACTTCAAGACACAAAACCACAAAGCAAAACCGAAAACACAAAAATAGCTCTCCATCTCTATTTTGTTCATTTAAAAATTTGGTTCGTTTATTTATCCATGCATGTTCATGCCACACCTTGTGCTTGAGGAGGTCAGCGGACAACTTTGAGGACTCAGTCCTTTTTTGCCACCACATGAGTCCCGGGGTTTACATTCCAGGTCATCAGACAAAACATGGAGCGCCTTAACAGCTGAGCTGTCGCACCAGCCCGGATGCAGGAGACACTTGAAGCTAGCTAGAGTAAGTCTTGCTGAAGTACTAAATACAGGGAGTGAGAGGAAGAATAGAAGCAGAGGTGAGCAGATAACAAGATGAGTGTGGGCTTCAGGGATGGCTCAGTGGTTGAGAGCACTTGCTGCTCTTGCAGAGGATCTGGGTTCAGATCCCAGCAAAGCTGCTCACAACTGTCTGTAACTCCAGGTTCTGGGGATCTAATTCCCTCTTCTGGCCTTCTTAAGTAACAGGCATCCATATGGTACATACACATACATACAGGCAAAACACTCCTGTCCATAAAATAAATACAAAGGCTCAAGCATCTTTAAAAAGCAAATAAATTGACGTGTGTGTGTGTGTGTGTGTGTGTGTGAGAGAGAGAGAGAGAGAGAGAGAGAGAGAGAGAGAGAGAGAGACAGAGAGAGACAGAGAGAGACAGAGAGAGATTACCAGGCTGCCTAAATTAGAAAACAGAAAAACAGGTAAGAAGAAAATACCAATAGATTTATGATATCTTTATGACACTATCATTTACTAGCAGAGAGAAAAGACAGGCCGTTAGTATGAGAATGAAGAGAACATTTTTTGATTTTCTTTTTAAAAACAGGAATTTAAAGACAAGAGGATTGAGCCTATCTCCTAACTTAAGGAGAAAAACTGAAGAAAAGGCAGAGACCAGACATGATAGCCCATCTGTAATCCCAGTGCTGGAAAGACAGGCAGGAGGATCAGGAATTAGAGATCAGGATAGGTTATATAATGAGCTCAAAGCCAGCTTGAGCTACAGAGCAAGACTCTGTCTCGAAATCAAAGAAAACAAACAGGAAACAAAAACAAAGAGGGGTGATGAAGAGAGGATCGAGTTCCTGGAACCAGTGAGCTGTACTTCACAGCCTCTGTTCCCTCACAGCCTTCCAAATCCTCGCCAACCACAGCCACCGCCACCGCTGCTGAGGCTGTGGCCTCCAGACACGAGGGTTTCTTTCCTATTGTATTTACCTTGGTCTTTAGAGATGGGGTCTCAGAAACTTGGATGACCTGGTACTTGCTATGTAGCCAAGAATGTCCTCGGAGTGTCTCTTCCCAAGAGTGTAGAAGTAACCTACCATGGCCAGCTCAAACAACCGTGGTTTTCTTTTCTTTATTTTTAATTACATTTTTAGTGTGTGTGTGTGTGTGTGTGTCTGTGTCTGTGTGTCTGTGTCTGTGTGTCTCTGTGTGTGCCTCTGTGTGTATGCATATTGGTTAGAGGATAACCTGTGGGAATTGATTCCACCATATAGGTCCTGGAGATCAGACTCCGCCTTCACTTCCCTGGCTATCTAAAATCTTTGCACTAGCCTCTTTGCATCTCTAAATGATGGCTTCTCAGAGCCATGATCTTAGACTGCCTCTGTTTTCATTATCTTAGTCATTTATTCAAATCCCAAATGCTTTCTGCTGCCAGGAAAGCTTTAGGTGCTGGGGCTAGAGCAATAAACAAACCCTGTACTCACTTGGCTTGAGATTTCTTCCTAAGCAGTCCCGCCCACTCCCCCAAATGAGATACCAGCCCTAACCACCATTCTGAGTTTCAGACACACCTACCCAATACTTTGTGGAGCCACTTCTCTAGGATGTTCCTAAACTGAACGTCTTGGCTCTGGTTTGTCCTTTCCTAGCATCTTGCCATGAACTACCATGAACCTCCAGAGTGTTCCTCAGTATTCTGTTCTGACACTGAGCTTCCCAAGATGGAACTCTGACTGCAGTTCTTGGCTCTTGAAAACACGTTACTATCCCTCATCTTCAGAATGCTTCATCATTTAATACAAGGCTCCTTTATCTCCAGGACACATCCATCCCTGTGGTCCTCCCTGCCTTGCTGCTCAGATTCTCCCATCTGACCCTGCTTCAGTGCCCATCCCTGCTGTCCAATGTGTTCATTTCCCCTTCTCATCCCCTTGACTGACTTCTAGCTCATTTTCTATACACTCCAGTCTTCCTCAGCCTCTCCTGAGTGTTCATCCCTCCCTCACATGTAATGCAGACACCCGCTGTTGATTCCCTCAACATAGCTTGCACTTTGTATGGCTTGTGACTGTTTATCTTGCTATCTCTTCCTCTGGACTGTAAGCCCCATAGAAATAGGAAACATGGAGCTGTGCCACACATAAGGAAAGAAGTTAGCCTTCCCTTGACAGAGATGGAGGAAGCCCTCTCGTCTAATAACACAGTTAAGGCATTGTCACCTGCTTTGTGGCATCTAACCATTGCATACCTCCACCCCAGTATAATAGATGCCTGGACTCAGGGCTGCACAGAGTACAGTTTTAGACATTGTTCAGCTATCACTGGACAGCATAGCTCAGTAACAGAGCACTTGACAGGAGAACATGAGGCCCTAGGTTCAATCCCTGGAAGACGGAAAACAATCTGGCAACCATCTAGGGAACATGCTTTTCCTTTATTTTTTAAATTTAGTTTGGTTCTTTGACACAGAATCTCACACTGTAGGTTT